TGGGTGAGACGGAGATTGACACAGGGAGTCATGCAGATGTAGGCTCACGGATTGCTTCCCTTTTTAGAGGACCATGTGAGTGAATACCGGGCACCAGCCAGTTTCAATGAATAAAAGTTCTAAGGGGCGCTTGGGCAAATGCGGTCGAGGATCGAAGCTTGGGAAGAGGGGCGAAAAGAAGGAAATATAATGAAAGCAGTAGCGCGTGGTGGGTGTTGGGCGGCATGAGATAAAACGGCGTCGATAGAAAAAATCTAAAAGGGGATGACAGCAAACTAAATGGACCCAAGAAATGTGAATACGTTTGCTGATCTAGAAGCCGAGTACTAGTTAAGCCAGAGTAAGTGCCTAGTTTTAGGAAGGTAAAAACTTTGTCGTTGAGGTAGCTACGAGGGGGGCTAGCTGCTGGACTAGTTGAAAACGGACGGTATATTTTTGCTCACCAAAGCGTCATGACATCGGATCCCTGTTGTGCAGAAATAGGGGTTAATTTTAGCAGTGACAGTGGACAAGTGAAAAGCGGACAGAAAACAGCTTCCCAGATAAGTGGTAAGAATCGCAGCTTAACAGGTCTACTACATCATCCTAACAGGAAAGTAAGATTAAGTATCACCAGTCGCCGAGTCATTGCTGTCAACTCCAAAAAACGAATGATACATGGCAAAAAACAGCCATTAAGTGCTAGCTGTGCCTGCTTGTAATCAGGAAGTCATAAGCTAATAACATTTTGTGTATGTGATTGCTCTAGATGACAGGAGGGAAGAACATGCGTGCTATGTTTGGTGATGAAGGGGACTAGGGCTGGTGTGACCCCATTAAGACGAAAGTGGCAACATCTTGCACGTCGACGTTAACCGTGATCCTCGCAGGTAAACTCAGGCTACCCCATGCATGAATGTTTTTTTACTATTCTTCTTTTATTATTTTTTTAGAACAAACGGGAGGACATCTGTCGTCCGCTTGTATTCCTTGGTGTTGTGGGACAAGTGGCAACCAGAACAAGGCCAATCCAGCTACAGACAAACAGAAACGCTGCTCTTTTTTGGTTTTCCTGAATTAAAGGCCAGGCTCAGGACCACCGGCGATGGGCGATACACCCGTGCTACTGGAGAGGTGACGAGTTTACGAACGCACCATGGTGCAGCGTAACAGGGCGACCCTCCGTGCAGGGCGTGCCCGTCCACCACACGAGTTTTTCATCCCTCGTGCATGCTACCAGATCTGCAAGTTGGAAAACCA